CCAGTTAAGCATAGGATATGTTGTCATTGGCCTTCATTCCGTACTATCAGCGTGGATTTCATCACACAGACTGCGCATTTTTCATGTTTTGCCATTTTTTGGATGTGGTAGCAGCACGCAAATTTTTAGAATTCTCGTTTAGAGCTGAGGAGATGACATTGGCTTTCAAAAGGGCCATGAACGAGGCAACCCTTTTGGATGATGCTTTGCAGACATGGCTCTGTATAAGCCACGAGCTCTTGAACTACGGTCTCCAACTTCAGTGTGCCCCTGAAATCTTTGCCGTCTTCGCATGCCCTGGACTCTCAGAGGAAACACGCAAAAATGTGGAGGCTGCAGTTCGCAAGGAATGGTCCCTGGTCCTGAGCTTGGAACAAAGCACGGAGGGACAGCAAATCCTGGGGACCTGCTGTCCTTTCACGCGCTTTCAGCCCTACAGGGAGCTTTGCTCGTGCTTGGAGGTGCACGGAAGCAATTGCAGGGAAAACAGTCCTTCTGAACTTGAGGCCTTGGTTGAAGCGTACTTTCCAAGGATCGCTTATTCGGCCAACACAGAACAGATTTTTCAGCACTTAGAAGATGCTGTGCGCAGAAGCCAGAAACCTGACATAGGTTCCCTCTCGAACCTCTTTGCTTGCAGCTTGAGGGCAATGAAAAATCGTATCTGTGCCACGTCAGATGCGGAAAATGTGGAGCTTCTGCCCTCGGACTTCGAGTCCAAAGCAACACGGGCCCTGAAACCGAAACTGTGGAGCCCTTCCAGTGCACTGCCTTGTGTCCTGGTTTGATTGTTACGCCTTTACAGTTCATGAATGTTTTTAACCGATTTTTCTTTGCATCTTCTATCTTAGGCTCCAAAATCACGTTTGACGGAATTCTGAAGCCGTTCCGAAGCACTACTGCCTATCACCACAATCGGCAAGAGCTGAATAATCTTCGCGGATTCAAATTGGCAGTGGAGATGCTTGGCTGAAGTTGTTGAAGAAAAAGCTGTTGCATAAAACTTGATAACACAATGCCCAGGATGGGCGAGACTGCTGTGCAAGCGCAGCGTGACTTCTGGGTTCCCAGCATGTGCACGCGGGGAACGATGCTGATGGTGAAGAATGACTTCTTTCTTTGCACAGGGGCAACCCCTGCAGTGGCCTACGTACCTTGGAAGCAAGAAACCCCAAAACGCATACAAAAGATCCCGTATAATACCCAGAAGCCTTAGAGCCTCGGACTTTTTCACAACATGTACAAATTCTGCCCTTGACCCATCCCCTTTTTTTGCCAAAGAAACCCGAGGTCATCAAACTCACGGAGCTCAAGCAGTACTTCAAGGGTCCTCTGCCAGCTGTTGCGGAGGATGAAAGCAAAGTTCCTAAAAAGGATTTCTGCTGCCTCGACCTTTTGCCTGATGATGGTGACATGACCCAAGCTTTGACAATCGAAATTTCAAAGCAACTTGCCTGAAATACAGAAGATTAAGTAAATCAACACGAACATAGTTGTTGTTTCATCCAAGGTCTATGTTCGATTGTATGCTGCTGAAGTACAAGGAGGCCTAGCTACATAATCGTTTGTTGTTGCCTACATTGACATGTTTATGTGAAGGTCCATGTCGTGGACTACACAGTGCACCTGGGTAACGGACCTTTGTGCACGAAGAACGGCTGCAGCCTAGTTTTTCGCAGAAGCGTAAAGAAGTACACTCTGTTGGCCTGGTTGGTGCACAAAAACAACATCTACAAGTGCACTTCGGAAGTGCTTTCTGAGCTCCTGACAATGCATCACGTTCGCATGGCGAAGACAGCAACTAAAATCACAAAGGTGAGGAAGTTGCTCACCCTTGCGGAGGTCACAACGCAGTGCACGCAGCAAGAGATCAATGACGTGGAGAACTTGCTCAAGCATTTAGAAGAAAAGCGAAAAAAAAGGCAAGAAACAGGACAACAACGAAGATGAACAGGAAGAAGATGAGGCAAGTATCTGAATTCATGTTTGTGTGTTTTTTGTTTGAGCCACCCAAAACAAATCCAGTGTATGAGATTCTTGAGGATGCTATGCCAAACGAAGTGCCAGATCCTTGCGCACAAGCGTGCGAGCTAGTGCTTGCAGAAATGGATCGATTGCAACAGGTTGCTTGCCTATGACTGGTCGCATGTGTGGGCGTAATTAGGTCCGCATACGTACCTTTTCTTTCGCTACTTTGTTTCTCAATACCATGCTTAGGACATTGAGATGATGCCACCACCACAAGAAGCTCATGCTCCTGCCCCTGCGCGCATGGATGAGGGTGCGCCGACCACAGACAAGGCAGGAGCAGAGGGATCACAGCTTGCTGAAGCTCCGGCTGCTGCACGAGAACGAAACAGAGGACTTCTTTCAAACGCGTCCTCTATTCCAGCCTGGCTTCTGGAAAGGTTTCCTCTTCCCGAAGGGACAACAGCGGCTCATACACAGTTCAAGGAGGCAAACCTGCCTCATTTTCAAGGCCGTTTGGGACCCAACCAAAGCTTCCAGGGCAAGCATTTTGCACGCAATGTTATAACAGTTTCTTCTTTCTTTTTTTATCTAGCTGCTCTTGCTAAAGGAAGTAGACATGACAACAATGCATCAACTCAGGTGCTCTGCATCGTTCTCCTACAATGCTACGTTGTCTAAAGAAGAACTGGACATGACCAAGAAGGAACACAAAAGCCTTGCACCGAGCAAGAGATCAATGATTCAAGCATTTTACATGATGCATCATTGGCTAACAATGGCCACTGAAGAGCACAGGGTTAAGCGCAGACGTGTTGACTAGACTCGCAAGCAACCTGTGGGAGCTGTAGCGCTGAAAACTAAGCATCTACCAGTGTACATTGTATACTTTATCCTTGAAACAGCTCACATGGGA